AAGAGGCACTACGTGAAGCGTATCTCAGCATTTATTAAGTTAGAGGCACGACGTGAAGCATAACTTAATATCAGGTCAGGATAGAGGCACGACGTGAAGCTTGTCCCGACCACACACATGAATAACACATATGAAGCTTCATACATAACAAACAAGGGCCCAAAGTACTCACCACTGAAGTAAGCAGCACATACATCAGGAGTCCACTCTCCATGCCAAGGTATCATGTACTCCGCCGCCGCTTGAGTCGACTTCCCGTAGGAGCCGGTCAGGAGTCGAAGTTCGTAGCGCCCTTGTGGTAGCGTCCTTACGACGCGATAGGGGCCACGCATACACGAGTCCAACTTCCCAGCTGCTTGCGCCTGCTTTCTCACAAAGACCAAACTGTTTAGTTTAAAAGCCCGGGGAGGCTGCCTCCCCCCGATTTACATAAGCATCTTGTTCATGCTGGTTCCGCTGAAGTCTTTCAGATGCTCTCTGCCTACTCATTTCACGCAGGGTTTCTCTATTAGGATTGCTGCCCTCAAGAGCCACATCGCGTACCAAGCTTCTTATGAGGGGCGTGGCTGCCTCTATTCCAATCAGTAAGTTAAGGGCAGAGTATTGCGTGGTTCGGTGTTTAGTGATGTTCAACACCAATTGAATTTTCCACATTACACTTGGCCATGAATTTTGTCTATAACTGGTTTCAACACGGATCATATTTAACACCGTTCTGCAATAACGTTCCACTTGGCCATTTGATCGGTGCATCTCGGGCGTTATAAAGTGAGTATTACAGCCCATAGTTTCAACCCAGTTAAGAAATTCTGCATTTTGGAACATACGCCCTCTGTCAGCTACTATTAGTTTTGGCGTCCCGAAAAGAGAAATGAGGTTGGTAAAATGTCTCTTCAGTTCGCTAACGTCTTGACGATACATAGGGTAAAGGAGACAGAATTTGGAGAATGCGTCGATAACTATCAAGACATAACGATACCCATCTGCTTCAGGCAAGGGACCAAGGGAATCCATATGAATGGTCTCAAAAGGGAGGTTTGGTTTTTCCCAAGAGTTAATAGGCTGGGATGAGGCCTTCGCTATTTTCTTATGAGCAATGCACACTAGGCAATGTGAAATATACTTTTGTGCGAAATATCGCAGCCCAGGGAACCAAAAGTGCTTGGTTATTAAATTGACCGTTTTATCAACCCCCCAAATGGTTATGTTCATCGTGAAAGACACGAAGAAGGCTGAGTCGATGTCCTTTAGGAATGTAACAGAGGAAACGGGAAGGTTCTCCAGTAGGAGAATATTTCATATAGAGGATATCATTTTTGACCACATACCGTGTGGCATCTAATTGCCCATCGTTAAGTTTTTGTATAAGGCACCGAGTTTCCTCGTCGGCAGCCTGAGCAATCTGTGCCCAATTCTGAGGCTTCTGAACTGTACACACACTGACAGGGTTCCGACTCAGATAATCGGCGTGGGACATAAGAGTGCCTCTACGGTAATCTAAGGTGAAATCGAAGTCCTGTAGGTAGACCCACCAACGAGCCACCCTGGGAAGCAGGTCTCTCTTGCGTTGTGTGAGCCTTAACGCATTACAATCCGTAACGACAGTAAAACGCACACCCACAAGATAAGGTCGAAAATGCTGCAATGCTTTTACAACTGCAAGGGTTTCAAGCTCATACGAGTGATACCTATTCTCGGCCCCTTGTGTGAGCTTACTGAAATAAGCAACCACTCGCCTGTGGCCACCCTCGTGCACTTGCAGCAAAATAGCCCCGTAGCCGACGGAACTCGCGTCCGTATGGACTTCAATCGGCAAGGACGGGTCATATACTGCGAGAACAGGCTCGTCAGTTAGGCATTCAATTAGGTCATTACGCGCAGCCTGTTGTTCCTTGCCCCAGTTAAATTCAACCCCCTTTTTAGTTAGAGCTGTTATACAAGCAGACCTTTGAGCAAAATTTGGTATATATCTGCGAAAATAACTGGCTAAGCCCAAGAACTGGCGAACCTGTTTCACATTTTTCGGTTCTGGGGACTCGACCAAGGCTTTGACTTTGCTAGGGCTCGGTCGCACCTGACCCTGGCTAATTTTACGGCCGAGGTCTCAATTTCTTCTGTTAGAAAAGAACACTTTTTTTAAATTAATCGAAAACCCCGCTTCAGTCAAGGCTGTCAAAACTTGGTGCAAAAGGTCAAAACCCAGGTCTATTGTTCTACTCAATATCAGCACATCGTCGATATATACAAGTACATCACCAGAATCAATAAACTTTCGGAGAGTTTTCGATATAATACGCTGATACACAACCGGAGCATTGGCTAGGCCGTAAGGCATTTTTAGATATTCAAAATGCCCCTCCGGCGTGACAAATGCCGTGAGTGGAATGGACCCCTCGCTGACTGGGATCTGGTGGAAACCAGTAGCCATATCAAGACTGGTGAAGTACCTGTTATGACCTAATCGATCTATGTAGTCGTCTATACGTGGGAGTGGGAATCGGTCTTTAACAGTCACTTCATTTAACTTGCGAAAATCCACGCACATTCTGTCCGATCCATCTTTCTTTTTTACTAAAAGAATAGGGCTCGCGTAATCCGATTCCGACTCACGTATGATCCCCTTTGAAACAAGGTCACTAATTATTTCACGTACCCGAAGTATCTCATTGTGAGACATCCGATAAGGCCTGTAGCTAATGGGAGTGTCACTAGTCAGTCTTATAGTCATACATCCCGCATTGACAGTTGATGTCGCAGTACCAGAAATGAAATACTCAGAAAACTTGTTTATTATATCAAGCAAACGCTGTAGCTGGTCACCAGTTAACGGCGTGTTGACTGAGATTGACTTATCAGACTGAATAGCCATCACTCTCTCGCAATTAGTCGCTTTCCTAGTTAACGATTGAGAATCTCGGGTGCGAACATATTGAACACCTTCCCTATTGAGTACGTCAGTTCCCACAATAATAGGCGTATTCATGAACTTGGACTCCACCACGAACAAATCTACTTCGAGCGTTAAGCCGTCAAACTCTATTGGCAGTGTTACGTAGGAGGTAGTCTCAAGTTCCTGACTACCCAATCCGCGTAAAATGCGAAAACTAGGCTTATGTGCACAATCAAAATGTTTCAATAATGCTGACGATATAAGAGATATGGTCGACCCACTATCGATCAAAACGTCCACCGGAACACCCTGAATTACGGCTACAACGTCGCTTTTCGGGGTATCCTTATTTTCAACGCAAAAATTGACATTGTTCTTGTTTCGTGCCACAGATTTTTGCTTTGCAAAACATTGATCCATTTTGTGACCATGCTTTTTGCAATATGAACAAAGCTCCGATTTAAATGACGTAGAAGGCTTAGAAACACCGGAACCGTTAAGGTTAGGGGTCTCATTTGAATCTGTTTTTATTTTCTTGCAAAAAGCCTGTTTATGTCCGCGAAGCCCACACGAAAAACACTTGCCCTCTTCCAACTTTCGTTTTCTATTTTGTGTACTCGGACTTGAATTATTTTTATTGTTTTTCGAATTATTATGCAAAGTGGATTGAGGACGAGTCCTAGAAGTGGAATGTTTCACATAAATCGAAAGAAAACCGACTAAATCCTGAGGCAATAATTTAGCATTTGTGGCTGACGCTTTAATGTGAGGATCGGTGATACCGCGTATCACAATTGCCGAAATAAGTTCGTCACTGAGTCCACGAACAACACTTAGCCGAAGCAGTGAGCGTCGAGCGTAGTCAGCGTACGTGGAATAATTATCTGAATTTGTTGACATAACTTCATACAAAATGTTTGCAATATCTGGCGTTTTCGGGCATAACGGTGTAAATTCCTTTTTGAAATTACTCCACGTACGATCACTCGTAACCCACTCGCGTAACCACAAACGAGCATCACCCTTCAAACAATTTCCTATTCGCGCAAGACACTCGTGATCACTCCAATTATTTGACAATTTTGCACGGTCAACTTCCTCACACCAGTCACTAATGTTGTGTAAACTAGGATCAAAACAAGATATAAAATAATTTTGGTCAGATCTCACCCGATTACTGATGGAACAAATAGCATCCACAATGCGATCTGTTACCGACACCTCACTGGCAGCCACAGGTGGTTGCATCGAGGTTTCAACCGAGGGGCCGGCACGAAATTTGGCTGCCGATTCGGAGGTCATCGTTGGCAAAGGCGGCGTATGCGATTGCAGCGTCTGCGCAGACCGCTCCAGTAACTGTGTCGTTACGTGGGTAGAGCAAGAACTCTCGCGTCGCCGCTCCGACACGTCCGCATGGCGCCACTCTGGCGCGTCCGCCTGGCGCCGCGCTGTCGGTAACGGCGGCGGCGAGCAGCGCCCGCGGCTAAGCTTTCCATTGACGTCCGTCGAGTTGGGGGTTGATATTTTTTTTACAGAAGGATGACATTAATATAAGCACACACGCAAAGTTTTAACATGCGGAAACGCGTAGTTTTTGAGAAAAAAATTATCGAAAATCAATAATTTTTGCAATATTTATGTCAAATCCTACCATAGATTATATCGTATTACAGATATATCACGACATTGAATGTTCCGTTTTAAGTACGGTTAACTTGTCAAATGTTGGGTGACATTTCATTTTATAAAAATTTACGTAAATAATTATATTTTGTATCCATTTTAATAGTTTTCATGCATGCATATATATTTAGCAGTTTATATTTAACTAAATAACAATTATTTTCATTACGAGCTATTAAAATTAAAATGTGCAGTGTTTACGGCCTTTTCCCGGCTTGTGGAACGAAACGTAAAACTGACGCCATTTAGTGTTGTCAGTGTCTTCCTCAGTCACTGTCATCGTTTGTGTTCCTAGCAGTTGAGATCGTTTACGTACTCCTGTCGTGAAAACAACGTTTGACTACCATCATGGCGTCTCCGAAGCCCCAAGTTTCGTGTTCTGCTGTGCCGTCTGTAGAATTGAGTGTAGTGAAAGTGTTGGACTCTGATGAGCCACTTGTCGCGAGCTCTTCTGCAGGCACCCCCCTGTGTGCAAGTGTTGGACTCTAGTGAGCCACTTGTGCCCATGACTGTGCTATCGAAATCAATAGCTGGTAGTTCCCGCGCCACTGTTCCCAGTACCGTGTCGGTACTGCCGCCTGCGTCTCCAACGTCGTCTGAGAGCAGCGTGGCTGATGCGGAACCTCAAGCTCCTGGTTCGTCTGGCCGAAGAGTCCACTACTATGCCGAGGAAATAAGGTTGGTTCACTGCTAAATATCGCAAAGATCCTTTCTTACAAATAGTGGCAGCCATAAATTATGTTTATAAATTAAAGTAGTTATAAAAGTTAATATTTTGGTGTTATATTGGGTGCAATAGCGAGCGAAGCGAGCCTAGGACGTGGGGCACCCCGACTCGGACAGGTTAGGTTAGAAGGAGATGACGGGGTCGAGTGAGCGAGCGAAGCGAGCGAATAGACCCCGTCATCTCCTTCGTGGTTATTTTTTTGTAAACCACTCAGAAGCAGGAGCCCCGCAAAAGCGGGGCTCCGTCGACTGGGCTTCCCTCTACTGCACCTCGTTAAGTGGCGTGGGGCTTCCGTCCCCCAACTCTCTCTCCCCATAAATCAGGTTAAATTGTCATAAAAATTACGAAACATAACCTCAAAATGAGATTTTTAAAAATTTATAAAAAAAAAACTAAGCATGTCCGGCAGGAAGGGGATGTAGGGGGTGACTCTACAACTCTTCTCCCTCCCCCCACACCACCCCCCACCCCCTAATTCAGGAGACCGAATTGTAAACCTTACCTGTGGTTTCTTATATAGCACATATGTAAACTTCACAGAAAAAGCTGACGAGTAAAACAGTAATTAGATTTCTAATAGGAATATTTTTGTTTGTTTTAGGTGCCATTGGAACATGTATAAAATCATAACCCGGCTCAACACCCCAGCTCAGTGCATTGCATTTGCTGAAGAGCATAGGCTCCTTCCTACAGAAAAAATGTGCTCATATCATAGGAGACCTATGGCGTTAAGCTCCAGCAGTAAGACTGGTCAGCTTGGCATATTTCGATGCAGGAAGAGTAATTGTCGCTCTAAGGCAGTGAGTCGGGCAGCGGGAACATGGTTCGAGAATGCGCGGCTGTCCATTGAGTTACAATTTTTACTGATGTATATGTTCAGCCAAAAATATAGTTATCATCAAGTTAAATTAGAGACAGCCCGTGAAGATAAAGAAACAATTTTATCAACAAGGACAATAACTGACTGGTTTTCTTACTGCCGAGAGACAGTAGTAGTTTATGAATTGGAGCACCAAGAAGTTAATGGCAAGATTGGTGGTCCAGGCAAAATCGTGCAAATAGACGAATCAAAATTTGGAAAACGCAAGTACAACAGAGGGAGACACATTGAAGGCCATTGGGTGCTGGGAATGATAGAAAATGGGAAAGATGATTTGAGATTAGAAGTGTGTCCCGATAATGATAGATCTGCGGAAATGTTGGTGCCACTAATACAAAAGCATGTGGAGGTAGGCACTGAAATCCATACCGATTTTTGGAGAGCCTACGATTGCCTACCTCAATATGGATATATACATAAAAAAGTTAATCACAGCGACCCTATAAATAAATTTGTGGCACCAGATGGGACACACACACAACGAATAGAAAGCCACTGGCGAAATTTAAAAGTGATGTTCGGTAGAGAAGGTTATAAAACAAACTTTACAGACTGGCTAATTGAATATTCTTGGCGAAGAAAAATAAAAATAGCACATAAAGATGTTTTCATAGAATTAATTAAAGCAATACAATATGTATATAAAATTGATTAATAAATTATGAATTTTATTTGATTTATTTTAAAAGTAAGTAAATAAAATAGGTTAGGTTTAACTTATGTCGAAGAACCGAATTGGTTGACCCTGACTCCACTTGGTACAAGTCTGTCCTACCCCTAGAGTGTTATTATAGAGCCGGAGGCGCGTAGGGAGAGCAGCCTCCGCCTGCTGTAACAAATCGTAGGCATCGGACGAGCCGGAGCGGCTGAGGCTGGTCGCCGAAGGTGACCAACAAGCCGAAGCTGCGAAGGCGAGGATGGATGCTTGCGATTTGTTACGCAAAGGCGAAGAGGCTGCTCTTCCCGCAGCGCCGTAGACATTGCAGTCTCAAAATAGACACAGAAATCCCTCTCAATCAGTCCCCCCTATTTTTTTTTTCTGATGAAAGGGGTTCCCCCTTCCGTAGGGGAGAACCTCCCTCCCCCAAGGAGGAGTCCTGGTTTTTTACACTTAATATTAATCCATAAAATGAGGAAAATTTTCTCAGAATTAAAAATGAAAAAAACTCGAAAAGGGGGGGGGCTCCGCAACTTTTCCTTTTAAGGGGGGGGTATTAAACCTCCCCCCCCTCCATCCCCCTCCCCCCCTCCCCCCTCAATTCGATGGACGTCAATGGAAAGTCGTACCTGATTTTCTAACGCTTGTAAACGAGCTCGCATCATTTTTATTTCCCGCCTAAGATCTCGGTCCGGGGTACGGTCCCGATACCTACTACGTCGCTTACTTGGTTTTCGACTATGAGAACGGCTTCCGCATCGTACGTGATCCGACATTTTGAGCAATTAATACGAAACTAAAACGGAAAACAAACGAAAATGGATAGTGGCTACGATCCCACTTCTGATTTTGTAAATGAAATAACGATTTAATTTTTTTAAAAAACAATTATCACAAACAAACTTTTAATCAAATAATTTCAAAACAAAACTGGGCATAGGCTATTTTCTAATAATTAAATGCAAATTTAAAAATAAAACGAAAAATGTCGGTCACGAAATCAATCACTATCAACACGATGTGTACGCGTCGACGGCTCTCGGGCCAAATGGGCATGTCGCTGGGTGGCGCTGCCTTTTATAGGGGCAGATTTGTTTTCATATCTTCTCCTCAAATAATATATATATATATATATATATATATATATATATATATATATATATATATATATATATATAATAACTCAAATTAAGTCCAGTACCAGTAGTAGTATTAAATAGAAGTCAGCAATAGCAGTACACAGATTTCTTCGATGGCGAATAAAGGAGCCCTTTTTTTTCTAAAGACTCACCATTCGTCAAGTTACGGGCAAAAATAATTTATGTCAAATATCTATTATATGTTGTATATATATATTGTTTTTTTTACTACTTGAATCTGAAAAACTCGCAGGAGTTTTGAATGTTTTGAATGTTACAATGCTTATTTTGGAATAATAATGGCCCTTTTCGAATCCATATATCGCGTAATTCTTCTGTTAAAATTTCATCACAATACGTACCAAGATCAGGAGATACATTTTCCAAGCATGTAGTTATTACCTCCCAGTAGCTTGAAGTAGAGAATTCAGCATCTGATGTGTGTTAGTAATTTTTGTCACACATATGATCTTTTTCTTGTTGATATTTAGAAGTATTTCGATCTTCATGTGATGACGGTGAAGAATTAGTCAGTCTATTTGTGTTTTCAACTGTAAAAAATGATGTGAGCTTAGGAAGTTTTTTGGTTATTTATTTTTGAGCTACAACTTTTTTCTTTTTAGTCATCCACTTAAATGTGTTCTTTTCGACATAATAAAATGAATAAATAAACAACCACGTTAACACTTCTATCATCTTAAATAATTTCTATTAAACAAAACAAAATCACACCATAAACTTCACCGTACAAGTTCGGGAAATCCCACAACCATAGACAATGTTGACTTCTATGTAGTGCATTGTATAGACTCCGCAAACTCGACTGTGCAATCGAAGTGGTTTGTGTGGGTGACCTCTAGAATTAAAGATCGTTAATACATCTTTTAACTGTTAAAATAATCAGTTAAAAAATAACAAATTTATGAATGAACTAAAATTAACCATAACGAATAAAATTATCATATTCTAGACCTTTAAAAACAATCCAAGATCGATTTCTTACCCTACTGATTTATATTAAATTAGCCGTATTTATGCCATCTTACGTCTTCTTTCCGTACCATCTTGAGAGTCATTCAATTTTCGTTCGATACTTATAGAATGGAGTAGATGGCGGTTTATAAAATAATTTTATTAGAAACAAAATATTTTATAACAACATCAATACGTGTATTTATTTTATTACAATAGAATTTAGACTTCACATGTCTATATATAAATAAGGACCATAACAATTATTTGCTATAAAATCGAATATTTGTGGTTGAAAATTATTATACTAAATTAAAAGAAAATGAGGGCCCTGGGCACGGGCCCCACGTGCCCTCATGGTAAAGACAGTACTAAAGAAGAATTAGCGAATTGATTCGCATCGCGCATGCCTGCGATGTTTCGTCACACTCAAGGTAGGTATAATCGCTACGTTTTAGTAGTTCTTGTTTACGTCATATTTGGTCTACGGATGGGCTAATGAGAAATATATCGATAAGTACCGTATCGATGTTTGCAAGCGGTATCGACATTTATCGAATAAAAATATTTTATTTAACGTTACTTCCTAGGATTTTCTCATGCATAGTGGAGGCAATTTACACACACATATTTCACAAGGACAAACATCCAGACCCGAAACAATTATCTGTAAGCTATACAAATACTTTTTCCCTGCGGTATTTAAGCCCGCGGCCCCCAGCGCTGCAACTCATTGCTAAGCCACTGCGCCACGGAGCCGTCATGTAAACAATATATCCAAATTCTATACCGCTGATATTACACATACAAACATGAAAGTTTTGACAGATACCTGACCACCAAAGGATTGCTGGTGCAGTTTCACCGATTATGTGGATGTTGATACGACAAAGTGATTTTTTTTATACAATAAGGATGACAAACGAGCAGACAGTCCACCTGATAATAAGTGCATGCTGTATCCAAATACTTTTACATCTATCGTCGATTAGGAATCAAAATGCAAATGCGTTGCCACCTCTGACGACTAAGATGGAATGCCTCGTTTCCAGTGTTTCGTATCGTGAGTGTAGAGAACCAAAGATCCATTTACTGTTCTTTAAAATATTGACACTTTCACTGTCCGATTTTCGGACACAATAATAAGACAATAACAATGACCTACATATAGTGCACGGGACAGCAAATGGTTTAAGATATAAACGCAATATATTATACAAGTTAGTAAATTGGTAGCTAAAATACTAAGCACTCGTTGTAAATTTCACAGCGTGTGAGCAACTTGGGTTCAATCCCGATAGAAAAATGTCATTGTCACTTGCAAGTCTCAAGTACAGTTTTACCACGTACTCGTTCTAACAGATCTCCTAGAAATATGAGAAAGCATGGAACGTATATAGGCTGTCACTTATCTTAAGTAAGTGCATTATCTTGATTGAATGTTTAGATAAAACGAATAAAAGATATTGTTTTTTAGATCCGTACTATAATAATAAATAATGTCCGACCAAATTTCAGCCACAGTGGCCTGTCTGAAAGGATACTAAGCTGTCTGAATGGACAGGATTATAGAATCCAAGTGTATCTGCAAGCACAGGTGCACTTTCCTTTACTTTCATAGTCCGATGGAACGGTAATCTGGCACAAAGAGATCAGGCGCAGGATCAACGGCTTTACGTGATTTCCTAGGCACGGGCGTGAAACACCGCCAACTTCCTGACTCCCAGCTGCTACTTAGAATTTCTTGACAGAAAAACCTAATATTTGGTTTTGGCCCGATCCGGAATTTAAACACCGGAACTCATGATTAGCAACCGCGTTTACAATCACTAGACCAAGAAGGCTGTCACAACATACTATGAAAAATGCTGTTAAAAGAAGTTACGTCTTTAATGGTTTACCTAGCTGCTACATAATGCTACATTATGTTTGTAGCACAAATGGGTCGACTCAACTGGGGAAGGACCACTCTTTCAAAGAATACCTGCGTAAAATAGCAGCTTAATGCTACTGTGTTCTGTAACGTGGGTGTAGACCGCAGACCTTTTTACTAGAAAAGAAGCATTGTAGTGACAGCGCATTTGCATGGTGATTCTTAGTTAAGGATAGATGTCTATGAGTGGCTCATATCATAGCATCCACTTATCATCACGTGGCTATGTGTTCGTTTGTCACCCTTATTCTATAAAAAAAAACATATACGGGCCATACAATCAAAATCTAGTGACTTTTATTTCAGTTGTGCAATTAATGCAAATTATTTAAATAAATGGCACGCAATTTAAGCTAATGGCATTCCGCCACATCTACATTAGCGCAAGATACTTTATTGGTTTAAAGTTTAAACTGCATTACAGTAAATTTTAATAACGTGTAATAACAATAGGGGGAATAAGTCGCTCGCGTCCGTAGGCTTCGACCACCTAATCCTAGGCCCACCCTACACTTTTCCCCCGGGTGGTGCTATCATCATCATCATCATTACAGCCCTTTACAAGTCCACTGCTAAACATAGGCCTCCCCCAAGTAACGCCACAAAGCACGGTCCTGAGCCACCTGCATCCATCGACTTCCTGCATATCTTACCAGGTCGTCACTCCATCTAGTGAGGGGTCGCCCTACACTCCGCCTACCGGTACGAGGCTGCCACTCGAGAACCTTTCTTCCCCATCGGTTATCGGTTCTTCGAGCTATATGGCCGGCCCATTGCCACTTCAGCTTACTAATCCGTTCGGCTATGTCGGTCAATCAGGTTCTACTGCGGATATCCTCATTTCTGAGTCTATCACGCAGAGAAACTCCGAGCATAGCCCTCTCCATAGCTCGCTGAGCAACCTTGAGCGTCTTCATACGGCCAGCGGTGAAGGACCACGTCTCTGATCCGTAAGTCATCACTGGCAACACGCACTGGTTGTACACTTTAGTTTTCAGAGATTGAGGTATACCTGACGTGAAGATGTGTCGTAATTTCCCGAACGCTGCCCAGCCGAGTTGAATCCGTCGATTGACCTCTCGGTCGAAGTTGGACTTACCTAGTCGGACTATTTGTCCCAGGTAAACGTACTCGTCAACAACTTCGAGCATAGTGCTCCCAACAACTACCGGCATAGGTGTGACATGGACATTAAACATGATCTTTGTTTTGTCCATGTTCATCTTAAGACCTATCCGTTGGGAGACACCATTGAGGTCATTGAGCATAGTGCTAAGGTCGTCCAGCGATTCTGCCATAAGGACTATATCGTCGGCAAATCGAAGGTGAGTGATGTACTCGCCATTGATGTTAATACCGTATCCTTTCCAGTCCAATAGCTTCCTTCCTTCGAAAACGTCTTCCAACGCAGCGTTGAAGAGTTTCGGGGATATAACGTTACCCTCTCTTACATCTCTCTGCAGTTGGATACGCTTCGAACTCTGGTTCTGTACTCGGATAGCCATCGTAGCCCTACTGTACAAAATCTTCAGCGCTTCGATATACCGACAGTCAACTTGGCACCGCTGAAGGGACTGTAGCACCGCCCAAATTTCGACGAAATCAAAGGCTTTCTCATAGTCCACATACGCCAGGCAAAGTGGCAGATTGTACTCCTCGGTCTTCTGTACAATCTGCCGCAGGGTATGTATGTGGTCTATGGTACTGAAGCCTTTTCGGAAATCGGCTTGCTCGGGAGGCTGGAAGTCGTCGAGTCTGCGTGCGAGACGATTCGTAATGACTCTCGAAAACAGCACGTAGACGCGGCTCAGAAGGGAAATCGGTCTGTAGTTCTTCAAGAGAGCGTTGTCGCCTTTCTTAAAGGACAAGACCACCGCACTTCTGCTCCACGCCTCTGGAGTAGTGCCACCATGGAGGACGGAATTGAAGAGCTTCTGATGGACTTCAAGTACTGGTGTTCCACCCGCTTTCAGAAGCTCCACTGTAATTCCATCCTCACCTGGGGCCCTGCCGTTTTTAAGGTGCTGGAGAACCATTCTAATCTCGCTCAGACTGACGTCCGGGATATCATTGGAATAGTGTCGGGTAAGACTTGCTCTTGGATCGTTACTCACACTTGCGTGTGGCTCCAACGATGTGTACAGCTGCCCATAGAACCTCTCAATCTCGCTCAAAATCTTAGGTGTCTCGGAAACGATGCTGCTACACTCAGTCTTCAGCTTTGACAGTTGGCTCTTTCTGGCAGACAGATCTCTGGCAAGGACTTTGGAGCCCTGGTTCCGCTCGATCGCTTCTTTAATACGAGCAGTATTAAAGTTGCGTAAGTCTCGCCGCATGCATTTGGAGATCTGTCTGTTCAGTTGCCTGTATGCTGTCAAATCTATTGACGATTGCAGCCTCATCTCCCGTCTAACAGTCATGAGATTAAGAGTGCGATCGGAAAGTTTTTGTGTTCTTCTGCGGCGGGTCTTGCAGAACTTAGCTCCGACCGCATGGACAGTTTCCACTAGCTTGTCATTCATATCGTCCAATGCATTGGGTGGTGCTAAAAGAGCGACAAAGCCGAAAGAACAGACTCGGCTACTTGCCGTGTGGTAGCGGCGTAAAATATGCCACACCCTAGTTTTCTCTCCATGAGGCAAAAAGTAAAAGAAATGGCCCCGGGTTCCCGGCGCCCCTTTAATGGGGCAGTGGTGCGAAGAATCTCCGGGAGGAAAACCGGCGACGAGGTTCGCCACCCGTCATGTTCTGTCTCCCAGAGAGGCGAAAAGTGAATTGCAGAGGCCCATCTGGCTACGTTGAATGTATGTGGGGCAATGAATGTCAAAATGGATGAAGTATGCGATATGATGTATGATAGAGGAATAGATGTATTGTGTGTAAATGAGACGAAAAGGAACGGGAAGGATGTCACTGCACATGGCATGTATACCGCATACTGGTCTGGTGTAGACGAGATCGAGCGGGCATGCCAGGGAGTAGGTATCATCCTTTCAGAAAGAATGGGCCAATGTGTGAAAGAGTATGAATGTGTAAGCCCAAGACTGCTATGGATACGAATGAAAGTGGGCTTAAAGAAGTTGTTTGTATTAGGGGTCTACGCCCCAGACATGTCTAAGCCCACTTATATCCGAGAGCAGTTTTGGGAAATGGCAAGGATGGTGTTAATGAAGTGTAAGGGAAATGAAAATATTATTATGCTAGGAGATTTTAATGGAAGTGTTGGGGTGAGGAGGCTTGGTTATGAAAGGGTATTGGGAACGTTTGGTGATGAAAGTATAAATGAGAATGGTGAAAGCCTCCTCACCGTATGTGTGGAAAGGAATCTTTTTGTGACGAACACTTTCTTTCGTCATAAGAAGATTCACATGTATACTTAGGAAAGAGGTGATGATAGAAGCATGATAGATTTCATACTGTGGATGAAAAAATGAGGAGCGATGAATGAGGAGTGGATACAA